AGGCTACACGGATTAGTGTGATCCTGGAGGATGGTAATTAACATTTCAAAGTTATCAGAGCATGCTCCTGACAATAGGGCAGGGATTATCTTTTTTCATTTACAAAAGGGAAAAATCAGTAGTTTAGTGAGGTTAAATTTTTACAGCTTTTAAATTGCAGTGTCAGAATTTGAATTCAGAAATTCTAACATCAAAATGCAAGATCTAAGTTATGGCTGAAGTATTGATTTATAAGTATTGCTAATAATTACTTTGAACAAAAAAGAGTAAAAAATCTTTTTTAGAAGAGTTTCTTAGAGTTATATAGAGCATAATCTTAAAGCAAATTAATTCAGAAAACATTTATTTTGCAAACACATATCTGTCTTAGTGTTTACAAGGCCCCTTTACAGATAGTGAGGACAACACTTGACAGACAAAATAAGGTCCCTGTCTTTAAAGAACGTGCAGTCTCAGGATTGCCTACTCTGATTGTATTGGGCACAAAACAGCTGCCTAGAAAACCTTTGAGGAGACCTAACATTCCTGTGCAGATATCACTTCAGCAGATAGTCAAGTGTTTACTTTTGTGTTTCTTGACAGGCTTTATATGAAGCAGGAGAAAGGAGAAAGGGGACAGACGTGAACGTGTTCACTACTATTCTTACCACCAGAAGCTATCCCCATCTTCGCAGAGGTAACAAGAAAAAAATTTTTTTTCTGGAATTTGTTTATGAAAAAATGCAGCTGTGTTTTTATCAGTGTCACTCCTGTATCAAATGAACATAGTGCTCCACACACATTATGACTATTTATCCATTTGTCCAACTTTGTACAGCCACTATTTTATAGTACTTGAAACACTTTTTGTGACTTTGGCACGTCGGGCATCATTTCAGTATTTTCACTATTTTTATTTATCTAAAAGATTTGGAATAAATTTGACAAAAGTCATATATAAAACAGAACAAATAAAATTACAGTGAAGAAAAATGAACTCACCGCCAAAAGAGTATGGAGGTACTCCAGAAAAAACAATAACAGCATCGACAAAAACAAAAAACCCAGAAAAGAGTTCCAGCCTTTGAGCACAAGATTTAGTTAGCTCTGTGCTTTTTGGAAGCCAAGGCAGGAAGAAAGTCATGATGATCACCTAAAATTCATTTTCTTATAATAGCACACTGTTTTCCCATCTTAAACTTAAGAGAAATTCACTGCTCAGATCTTTCTATAAAGGAACATACATTTGCTATGGCACTTAGCACTGCCATCGTAAGTGTTATGGTTGTCAGTCACATGCCATTTCTACTACTGTCAACACTTACAAACATGGCCATGCGAGTTATGTTCCCAGGAGAAGATGAAGTATCCATATTATGCTTAGTTGTGAGAATAGCCTTCAAATGTGTGGCTGAAGTTCAGTTATCCCAAGGAATTCTTTGAAGCAGTTTCCCTGATTTTGCTAAAGTTTGCTAAAGAATAGGATGTTTTGTACATCTCTTAGTTTAAACTTAATATTCAGTGTTTCAGAAATACACCAAGTACAGTCAGCACGACATGAACAAAGTTCTGGACCTGGAGCTGAAAGGTGACATTGAGAAATGCCTCACAGCCATCGGTATGTAGTCCTGGAGCTGAAAGAGTTTCTAACTAGAAATTGTATTTTCAATGCTGCCCCATACCTAAAAAAAAAGAAAAAGGAATTCAAAAAACAAAACAAAACAAAAAACAAGTCCTCAGAGATGGTGCATCTATGTTTCAAATAGAGGCAACATGTAAGATTGACAAAGCAGTGTGATAACCTTCTTAATAACAGTAGATATTATTTCCCTTTCAAAAATATGGAGAGGTGGAATATAGTTATTGAGCACATGCTTATGCCAAGCAATGCACCAAGTGGGGCACACTGCAGAGGCCACGATGAATAGTCATTAAGAGCATGGGATTTGGAATTAGATAAATGTAAATTCAAATCCTGGTCTACCACTGTTTAACTGTACCATCTTGGGCAAGTCCAGGAGTCTGATTCAGTAGGTCTGGGTTAGCTTCCGAAAATCTGTACAAATTTAAGGGTATCCCAGGTTATTCAGATGACCACTAGGGCTGGGGAATCTATGTTCTTAAGCAGTGCTCCTCAAACATTACCAGGCACATGAATCCTCCAGAATTTTTGTTAGAATGCAGATTCTGATTCAGTAGTTTTGGGATGGATCCTGGGTCCTGCATTGTTAAGCTCCTGGTTGATGTAAATGCTTTTGGTCCACAAATTTCACTTCAAGTTGCAAGATAAAAAGCACTGTGAATTGACATGTGCCAGTATTTTATCTGGGCGCTGCTTTATATTTAAGTCTGTCCTATCCCAGGGTGGTTTTTTGTTTTGTTTTGTTTTTTTTGTTTTAATGTTCTTATTACAACAAGAAGAAAGTATTTATTTGTAGGCCTTTAACACCTACTGGTTTCTCCATTTCCAAGATGAATATGTTTAAGATAGTAATAACTATTGAAGTTGCTTTTAGGTGGATTTAAGGTAAAATAGGTGATGGATGTTAGGGGAAAGGATATTCAAAATCATCGTCTGGAGGGTCCTCAATGTCTTCTCATAAGCTAAATGTCTCCTTTTGGTGGTGGTGGGGGTGTGGCAGTGAGAAACAACATGGGGAATAGAATCCTGTTGGCAAAAATTCTGTATTTCTTGTTTCTTTCACATGCATCTTTCTTCTTTTGTGGTGGATACGCCAACTAAAATTTGCCTCTCTTACAGTAAAATGTGCCACAAGCAAACCAGCTTTCTTTGCTGAGAAGCTTCATCAGGCCATGAAGGTACCATTCTACTGATACGTTTTACTCAGAAAAAAATTAATGTTTGTAGAGAGAACAAAAAACTTCATTTTGTTAGAAAATCACACATTTAATATTTTACCATTAAAGAGAATCATTATTCTATTGAATGCAAGTGGTGATACATTACCTTCTTAGAGTAAACTTCTGTTAGATTTGGTGCATTTTTTTTTAAAAGGTAAGATTGTAAAATGAGCTTGTAAGAGATTTCTGGCTTACTTGTGATTTGCTTAAAACCTGAGTCACTGTGGGCCGGCCCGGTGGCGCACTACTGTAGTGTGCCGCTTGGGAGGTGCGGCGGCGCTCCTGCCGAGGGTTCGGATCCCACATACAGACTGGTTCCCGCTCACTGGCTGAGCGAGGCGCGGGAGCAACACCAAGGTTTGCGATCCCGTTGCCGGTCCTGGTCCGGTACGGGGGCGACACTGAGGGTTGCGATTCATTGCCGGACACGGAAAAAGA